GGTGATTGCTATTTGAGATCAGTATGGGACTAGGTGCAGCTATCGATACTACTTACACATTGTTTGATGGTAAGACCACCGGAACGGTCTATATGGCCGGGGCAGTGCCTTTTTGATGTCGAATTCTGGGTACGGATCAGGTAGAGGCACGCCGCTGAGTGTAGCGTAGTCTGGGAAATCGCCGAAGGCTCTGATCTCCTTTACAGAAAAGCCACATGGAAGGTATGTAGAGTCATCGGCATCCAGATATGATGTTTCCATCGGTAAGACGTTCTTCTGCCAGTCTGGCGACAGTTCTTCAGCCTTTTCTGTCTTCGCATCTCCAACCAAGGCACATCGTCGTGATGGTGGGAACGTGCTGACGTGATCAATCGGGGAAATGGACGCTGCCCTCTTCTCTGGAGACAAAGACCTTGGAGGAGTCTTTGCGCCTGATACCCTTCGTCCGCCGCTACGAAGCCGTTGTAGGATGATGTTGCGCCTTCCCCGCTTGATCAGCAGGAAGACTGAACTGAGCAGAAAAGCTGCCCCCAACAGCAATGAAATATTGGTAGCCATGATCGATGACCGTGAGATGATTGGCAAGATAAAGATATACCCTGACCAGCGATTGATCTGGCGCTCTTCCTTCTTCTCAATGCAAGCAGTGTCGGTGGAGATGGATGACGATGAACGCTGAGTCAACGACGGCAGCGATAGCTTAGCTTCGGAAATATTGTAGTAGTTGACAAGAGCGAGGCTTCACCCGAGACGTTCTACAATCGGAAATGAGGTCTGATTGTCTTATCGTTACGGTGCGGGGCGGGATGACTGCTGCATAGATGTGCGAAGCGACCTGTAAGACTACCCTAAACAGGTAATGACCGCGCCACGATTGGACCCAAGCGAACAGCACGATGATGTCTCTCATCTGAAGTATGGACTGTAACTCCTAGGTTGGGATGTCTGTACGCATATCACTACCATGATTGTGGTGGGGCCTATCACCGTAGATCGCCCGCTGTGTAACCCAACGACCCTAACCTTGTATAGTATTGGAACCCCAAGCATCTTGGCGTAGGGCGTAAGGGTAGACATGGCTCTCGTCCAGTGGTTTTATCGTCCGCCTTGTTGCCAGTTCAAGCGTTGCGTACGGCGCATCTCGGGGCGGCTCTAGAATTTCCCCGCTGTCGGTAATGCAGTCGCTATCGATACCCCGGACGCGCTGATACCGCTTGTGGTGAAGAAGTCCCATGGCTTGCCTTTCTCTCGGGTACGGCTGTCTTAGTGCTTTTATGGCGTGATGCCAGGATGCAATTCGATTCGATGGACTATCTTGGGGTTGACGTCGGATCAGTTCGGTGGGTAGTCATGCAATGCGCGTGACTTTTGTTCAGTCCATGGATTGGCTTTGACGAGAGCGGTCGAAGCCTAGGACCATACTGTCATGATAATGTAGAATTGCCTCTATTCTTAGAGTTCGTGATGTATTACGCCGCCATGCACTCGTAGAGCTCTGAGGTCTCCATGCAAACATCAAGAGTTGGTATCGAGGACATGACGTGGAAGGATCGAAGATGACATACATCCCGGACGAATGAGCAGCCGCTGTAAAAGCCAGATACCCTGGCTGCTAGATCTTAGCGTGGGTGAAAGTGTCAATGGGTGTGGGAAGGTTGTAGGTAACGACTGGAGATTTGGCATTCTGCGCTAGTTGCACGGGCCATGGGCCCCACGAGATAACAATCCTAAGCGTTATCGCCCGGCCTCACGTTGCGACACAGGCCCATTGTTTCTCCACGACCAAGCGCTCCGTTAGGTGCTGTAATTATCGCTGGTGGATGCGCGAACTCACAAAACGATGCTGCAGTTCTCGCCCTTCAGGTACTCTTCCATGGACGTGTACTTCACGTCGATGCCCAGGTCCCACGGAAACACAACATCAGGAATGCCCCCTTCGAAGCCAAACTTATCGAAATACTCGTACATGTCGGCAATTTCGGGACCGTATACGGGTCCCATCGCTTCTTCAATGGCCTCTCGAGGTATCTGCTTGAAGACGCATTTCACGTTGTTCACCTTCCCGAAGATGTCGCACCATTCACCAAGCGATATGAACGATCCAGCGCCGCTCAGAAGTGTTCCTGGTGGCAACTCAACGAGTGCCTTCGTGAAACGCCCTGGGGTTATTAGCAGGTGGCTATGTCGAAGACCAATGAAACTGACCAGTGTCTGCAACCGGATCGACCATGGGGATCTTCCTGTCTCCACTCATGGGTAGACTAAGAACAAAGGAGCCGTCTTCCTGCTTCTCTGGTCTCCAGTTACTTGCATAGGAGCCCAAGTGCAGCAAGCTCGTCTTGGCGGAAAGCTCCGGGTATGTCTCTTTCAGGTAATTTTCGGTTTCAGCCTTTGCATCGAAGTGCAAGTTCCACTTGATGGTACCGTTGCTCCATTTCCTAGCTTCAGAAAGCGTAGACAACACGAGACGGTCCAGAGTGCCGGCATGAGCCGCTGCTGCATCGATGATAGCCTTGGCTTGAGCAACTTCTCGGTCATATGCCACTTCGTTTGCTGTACGTTTCTGTTCGGCTGCAAGCTTATGTGTCGCAGGATCATTCAGGTGACCCCAGAAGTCAGTGTTTCCGAATATGACATTTGCCCCCTTGAACCCATTCTTCAGCGACTCTAGGTCATCGAGGTTGCCTGCTACGACTTCAACGCCTTGAGATGACAACTCTGTGGCGGACGCTTTGGAAGTGTCGCGAGTGATGCCGCGAACTTTCCACTCGGGCTCGTTCAGGAACGTGCGAGCAACTGAACCACCCTATGCTTAGTTAGTGTCGTGTTCATCTGGAGTGGTTGTCGATATATTGGCGCATACCTGATTTCCGGTGACCCCAATAACGGCAATTAACTTGATCATGACTCTACGAAGCTATTCCTGGGTCTATACTAATAAGAAGTAACTTCCATTGGAAAGATACGAATGCAGAGCTTTATAGCCTCTCAGGCCGCCATATGAAGCGTGAGGTTCGCAGTCCTTGACCGGAAGATGACGAACGAGTCGCTCCTGTTCTAGGCGTCCATTCGAATTACAGACAACAGGCTGTCAGATCGGTACAACAGCTCTGCTAAAATCTTACACACGCTGCGAACCAAGAGTAGTAAGCCAATCGCACCTTCAAGCATGAAGGAGAAGCGTTGGTTATTGGTCCTGGCTTACGACGTCATTGTACATTTGGGCTGTATGTTGCCGCCGGGCTTACGAAACCCCGCACTCCTTCAAGGCCTCCATCAGCAATCAATACAAATCTGCAGAGGTAGGTAAAGAGAGGGACGGACAAAATAATTACTCCTATAGGAAGTCAGTCACTGGCCCCAGGGCGTGGACTTCGGGAGGTGCATGGCCCACGCTAAGACCTATTAGGAAAGTCTCGGCATCCTTCAAGCATGTAGTAGAATGCAGGGTTTCTTCTCACTATCGAAAGATATAGCAGTGAAAAGACCATTTCGCTTGCTAACTTGTACTCGAATAATGTCCTACAGTCACCCAAGCCGAACAGCTCATATACGCCACTCCTTGCGACAGAGCGGGCACAGCATTTCCTGTTCCATGTGAAGCATGAGCTCCAGTAAGCAAGACCTACCGTACACGTGGCCAAATGGACACGGAGCGTGTACCGGACTGTCTCTTTTCCCATCCTCATCCTCCTCATCAAAGTTGCACCAACAGTGAGGGCATCGCATATCCTCTTTTGCAATTGAATCGACGTCAATCACCGGATGCGAGGAAACGAAGTCGTGTTTGGACTGCGCAAGCATCGGTCGTACGTGCGCAAACCATATCGGCTCAGACAATACTGGTATACGTACAAAGACATGGCATAATGGGTGTTTCGCCGGGTCATCCACATGATTCCAGATAAGACCAAGGCAGTCCATCATATACTGAACGATCCAGCGATTGCGAAAGGCGATTTGTAACTCGGGTAGCCTAAGAGAAGTATCCATCTCCATACAAACCATAAATGGAGAGGTAGACGAGTAGTCAAGTAGCATGGGCGTGCCCGCTACGTACTGATAGGGCGTTATACCCGCATTGTGCATCTCATCCAGCATGGCCGCTAGTCTGTACATGCCTACACACCAGGCTTGCGGCAATGCGAATCGATCGGGAATTGGTTTGTCGACGGTAGGATGCGCGCTAGGGACAACTGAACGGAGCTCTATATCCGCTTCATTCAATGTCTCTAGGAATGACCAATGCGAGAAACTCATGCCTTTGTAATTGAGGTTGGGTTCTTCGTCTTCGATGGGGGCGACGCGGGTGATGAAGCTGTCCTTTAACATCAATTCTGGAAGGTTGGCTTGACACCATCGTAGTGGACTTATGCCCACCCCGATCATCTCATCGTACATGTCTTCGGCTGTAGTACCAATCCAGGGTGGATGGTAGACAGCATCCTCTAAAAATGGACGCCCGGTATTGTGGAACATACGTTTGGTACGCACGCCTTGGAGATAGGCGAATACGAATTCGTCAACAGTAAAAGACAAGATGGGAGCTTCCACAGCCGCGAGAGGGTCAGGCTTGCTAGAGGGAGTAATAGTAGGAACTACCGACTCTTGTTGCGTAGTGAATGTGTTTCCCATGGTTCAGTTTAACTTGGTTGTGAGCTGATTGCCGCGCGCAGTTCTGGTAGGGATAATCGTTCAGGAAAGCAGTTCTTTTGACACTGTTCAAGGTCGAGTGTGCCGCAGGCCAGGAGCGCATTCACCGGTGAAGATCACCGTAAGGGCTTCGCCCTTCAGCCACACAGTGCTCCAATTCACCTTCTTCACTTCTGCCTTCCTTTGCGGGCTCTATATATACCTTCAGAAACACCTCGATACAGTGTTTACCACGTCTCACTCCCAACCAAAATATCAGAATGTCATCAACCTCACCACAGCCATCTTTTTCCGCTAACGAGTCTGGTGCCGTTGTCTCGAGCACACAAGACGACCTCGCCGGAGACATGCCTCCGACTACGACAGATGCTAGCCCAGCGCCAACGACATCCAACGGAGAAGAAGAGCCATCCCTAGAATCGCTAGAGAGCGAGCTCGACCAGAGCATGACACTCGTCCCATACGTCTCACAAGAGTCCACGTCAAACGGAGCTCATCCAGATGGACAAGGGCACGTCTTACCCGCCACAGGCGGCGTGATACACGAACCCCTTGCAGCGTTGTTCGGAGATGCACCATTCTTCTCCTACGGCTTCGCGAACGCCACGGGCGCGAATCTCCCGACTCTAGATAATCTGAATACGCAGCAAGCTCTCGTTGTCCCCGAGACGACATCTTTCCACCCTCTCCCGACATTAACGAGTTCTTTTGCGCAAGTTCAGCATCATCATCACCATCAACATCAACTAGTTCTTCTTGCCTTATCCGACTTCTTGAACGACCACATGACCGAGGAGCAATACGAACAAGAACAGATCCAAGACGCTTTGGACTGGGAGATGGCAAACTCTGAAGCAACGTTTGGACCTATTCGCCATCAAACTCGAACAACACGCGTGGAAGTCGCCACGGCTTTCGTCGAGACACTGGACGAAGTCGATATTACTAGTATCGAACCAGAGGATATGAAATGTCCGCTGTGCTGGCTTCCTTTCAGCAGCACCATAGACGAGGAGGGTCCATCAATTGCTACTTACCTGGACGATGAAGAGCGAGAAATCACGGAGCGCTTACATGCGAGCTATAATCTGCCCTTCTGTGAGAACAGGCCAGACAACGACCCTGTCAGAACGCCATGTGGGCATGTCTTCGGAAGGCAGTGCCTAATCGATAGCTTGGAGACAAACATGATCTGTCCGATGTGCAGATGTCGGGTTCATGGGAACGAGGGCGTGACCTGCCCTTACCATTCTAACGTCGGCAATATACTTCCAGGGGTTCCATTATGGTAGTACACGAATGGGGTAAATTTTGTTTCCTAGTAAATTTATATATAAGTTCGAGATAGGTGATGCCATCTTTCTAATGCGGCCGGCGCAGGGGATGTGCTTCAGTGTTGCTACAGAATTGTTAGCGTCATCTTCAACATCACAAGGGCCATACTCACAATACATATTCGTCCAAGCTGACAAGACTTGGCTCGCTGAAGATCAAATAGAAATACTTCAAAGTTTCCGCCATCCAAAAGCTTTCACATTCATCCAACTTGAGTGTCTCTTGCCCTTGTGGTATTGTGACGTCGGCGATGGCAGAATGAGCGAACTCTGCATGAGTGGCGTTGTTGATGGATTCGAACATGCGCCAGGCAGTGTCTTGGAGGGTGGTATCGCCGGTGATACGATAGAGGACGAATACTGACTCGATGGCCTCCGGGCTGTGACAATCGTTAGCTATGCATAGTGGCGTGATGTAGCACACATACCGTAACAGAAATCGCGGGTCACCAATCTTAGAGAAGCCCGGCTGCAGCCCTACCTCCTTGATGACGTCTTGAACGTCATAATGCTCCGCGTGGATGTTGTTGGAGTAAGAGTACCTGACAGAGGCATGCCATTTCTCCACATCCCACGCGCAATCTTCTTCTCCAAAGCACGGCATCATCCGGAAGGTTTCTGGCATGATACCCGTAGGCATAGTATCATAAGCCCAGGTGCACCCGTCCACTAACTTGCGAGCGACGTCTAGCTCATCCGTCCGATTGAAGATCTTTGCGCCCAAAGCAACCATGCCACCCGTAAAGCAAGCGAGGTGCTGGCCATTGGGTTCGAGCTTGACAGTGCCTGAGGTGCTGATTCGCGCATCGCCAGAGACGAGGATGTTGTCACCCTGGGGTATCCTGGGCCGGAAGAACAAATGCTCTTTCGCTGGATCGATGGCGCGCTCGTATAGCTTCCGGTATTGGTCTGTCAGACCCCCGAGGAGCAAGTGCTGCTTCGGCAAGTATTCGTACAGTGAATCAGTCATTCCACCCATTGTGAATGACCCGTCAACGTTGTATTCCTCCCTCCCTGGACTGACCAGTATTGGGAATAGCCCTGGTATCTTCGTCCGGTTCTGATGCTTTTCGAGCACGTCGGTGATTCTCGCTATCGCGTCGTAGTACTTCGCATCGCCGGTAAGCTGCGACAGGCGGGTGAATTCGAGTGATAGCGACCCTATCTCAGCGCTGAGAGCTTGCGTGTCAGCCTCTTGGTGGCCGTTTAGAGCAGCACTGATCTCTGTTAGTCTGTGTGGGTCGGTGGCATGGCGCAGTCATACTTTTCCCAGTCCCATCGGGTGATGGGCATCCTGTTCGGCGTGTCAAAGGCGGCGTAAAGCATATCCCCCAACTCGGTCGCCTTGTGTAGTAGTGCATGGTGCTTCGCCTTGCTTAGATCGTATGCGCTTAGAAGACCCCCCAGGTAGCGAATCGTAGTCTCGAAGACGTTCAGACGCGCGACACCTGCAGTGGTGAAGTCAATCTTCTTGATGGCATGTACGGCCTCCTCAAATTCCTCTTCTAGCCCTAGGATGATTAAGGTATCCAGCGTGTCAACTAAAGTTGCTCCTCGCTGCCCGAAGCCGTTCTTGAAGCCTCCTGTTACCGGAGTGACTTCATCCTGTAGCCACGCGTGGGTCTTGTATCCTCCCCAACTGTGTAAGAATGCCTTCTTTACAGCAGCTTGTCTATGCAGTCTCTCCGCCTTGGTGTGTTCTGTCTCGATTCCAAACTCATGTTGAATTCTCGGGATGGCGACCGGGGTGCCAGTGGGGAGAGAAGCTAGCGATGATACCGGGTTTCGCACCGGTATGCTCTTCCATTGTACGGCGTGATCGATTCGGGTCGACGAGGTGAACGTCGGCAGAGGGAGTCCGTTTCGGGCGCTGAGTTGGCGAAAGGCAAGGATGACAAAGGTAGCGAATACAAATAGCACAGCAATGCGTCGGATAATGGGGCTCATAATGTCTATTGAGGGTATCTCAAACTAAAATGGAAGAAACGCGACTGCTGCGCCGCGGAACACAGGGCCAGCATCCGAGGATGCAAAAGAGCAATTGAATGGAACAAGAATGTGTTGACAATACAGGAAACAAAAAAGACAGACGATATGCAATAGACACAGCGAATGCGACCAGGTGGGATGAAAGAAGGAGCCCCGTGGTGATGCACATGCTAAAGATAGGCTGAAGTGCCGATCCTCCGACCCTGAGCTAGCGGCTTTGCGCGTCGTCATCGTCAACCCATTACCACCACCATTGTCAACCTCGCAATGTCAAGGAGATATCTCAGAGAGCGGCAACTGACTGTTTAACTGCTGGCGCGACTGCCCCGGACGACTTTCTTGTCTCACGTGCAGTAGGCAGCAGTCATTGATGCTTACTCAGGAGACCAGGCGCGATGTGAGACTGCGAGACAGCCACCCATCTTCATCGGTGCATCATACAACGGCGCTCCGTTCACCGTGTGTAATATGAAGTCTGCGTATCGCCATGTCAGCAAGGTTCCGGGAATTTTGCGTCGCTGAAAGCTATATGGGCCACGAGCTTCGCACCTTCTGCTTTCATCATCTCATCACTGCGCGCTAAGTTATCTCAAGAACAACAAACCTTACATTAATAGGATGTTTACACTCTTCGGAGATCGTGCCCCTTCATCGCCCCCAGATCCGGCCAAACTGCAACTCCGACCCAACGAATGCCAAGTGCTCAGCCTCTCTGACGGGCGCACTCTTGGCTTCGCAACCTATGGATCTACGAACTCGTCGCACCCTGTCATCTTCCTTTTTCACGGCCTGCCAGGCTGTCGTTTGGTCGGAAGAAGCTGGGACAAGCTCTGTAGGGACATTGGCGCGCGTCTCATCGCCATCGATCGTCCAGGCTGTGGAGCTTCGACGCTCGCAGATCGTGGTCTCGTTGACTGGCCCACGGATGTGGTGAGCCTTGCAGACCATCTCAACATTGAGCGCTTCAGTGTGCTGGGTGCTAGCGGAGGCGGACCATACGCGCTGGCTTGCGCACGGTTCATTCCCAAAGAACGACTTCGGGCAACGACTGTAGTGTGCGGTATTGGACCCATCGAGGCACTCCTAGACACTGTGCCCTACCTATCATGGCGGCTCATGGGTATAACTCCATGGCTACTACGACAAGGGGCCCTCCGTTTCTTCCTACCTCACATCCTCATTCGTCCCTACCTCACTAGAGACCCGTCTCGCCTCAAGCGTGTCCTCGAAGATCAAGCCAAGACTCCAGAAGAGAAAGAGCAATTTAGCGACAACAGCGGAGAGACCAACCTTGACGACGTTGTCGCATCATTACTTGAGGCTTTCAAGCAAGGCGCTGGCGGATGCATGCAGGATGGTGCTGCGCTTACGAGAGAATGGGGCTTTGACCTGAAGGACGTTGACAGCGAACGGGTCTGGCTAGTACATGGCGATCAAGATGCGCAGGCGCCGTTGAAGGTTGCGCAGTGGATCGATGAGAGATTGAGGGGCGGAAGACTGCGGACGCTCGAGGGCAAGACACATTTTACGATCTGGAAGGAGCATTCGGAGGAGATATTCCGACAAAGCGCTGAGGCGTAAGTATATCGGTGGATGGATGGGTATTCGCAAGTTCCGCTGCAAGCGGTTTTCTCCAAGACTTGGTGCTGCAGGGCGTAATGCGCAGCCGGCCAATCTTCAAATTCCGCCTCATGTCCGAAGTCGTCACTCGGAGATGCGAACTACCAGTCGGCTTTGTCAGGGCAATGTTCAATATCTCCTTCACTGGTAACATAGCCACGTAAGTCTCTCCTCAACTATAGTGATGTCAAGAATGTATAAACACAAACATGCCATCTCTTAGCTGCCATATACTGCATTACCTACTTATCACAACGACCATCAAAACCCCTACACAACGACCATGTATCTATCCATCTCCAATTCAATCTTGTTGGCAGTAGCCTGCCTTGTCACTTTTGCATCATCCATGCCCTCCAAGGCGCTCTCACCCACATGGAAATCACTCGCCCCTATCCCTCTTTTTCCTCGTCAGGAACACACCACGGTGTTCCTTCCGCCATCTACCATCGCAATCCTTGGTGGTGTTGTCCCATTCAACACGTCCTTCCCACCTGTAGACACTACTCCCCTGATGCAATTCTACTCAATCACCAACAACACCTGGACCACAAAAGCGAGTATGCCACGAGGCCTCAACCACGCCAACGCAGCCGTTGTGGACGAGAAAATCTACGTTCTAGGTGGCCTGGCGGAGGCGGGTAACGAGACGACCAGGATATGGGGCTCAGTACCAGACTCATGGATGTACGACCCTCTCACAGACGTATGGGAGACGATTCCAGGCCTGCCCACTGGCGAAGAAAGAGGTAGTGCCGCCGTCGGTACCTACCAGTCCAAGATCTATCTCTCTGCCGGAATGTCGGAGCTTGAGCTCATCGAACATGGCAGACAGCGCAGTGTCTCCGTTGTTTCCATCTTCGATACAAAGACCAGGACATGGCTTGCCGTTCCAGAAGCTGCCAAATATATACCGGCACCCAGAGACCACGCTGGAGCCGCAGTTGTGGGCTCAAAGATGTACGTCCTCGGTGGACGGGACAGCGGTCAGAAAAATGTTCGCGACAAGGTCTTCATCCTCGATCTTTGTGATCTGGAAGCCGGTTGGAAGACTAGCTCGGCGCGCATGCCTACAGCTAGGGGTGGTGTTGCGGCTGGCGGTATCGGGAAGGACATCTACGTCTTCGGCGGTGAGGGCAACACGCTATCGGAGACCGGAGTCTTTGATCAAGTCGAGGTCTATGATACCGTGCGGGATCGATGGGCGAAGGCTGGAAAGATGAAGCTTCCTAGGCATGGCACGTATGCTGTCGGCGTGGAAGGGAAGGTGTACATCCCTGGAGGCGGTGTAAGTCAAAGCGGTGCGCCAGTGTCTGCCTTTGACGTCTTCATTCCTTAGGGTGTCAGCATGGCGCGATCTGGGGT